CCTTGGGAATATGCATCTCTGCCTAGGCTGACTGTCTCTGGCCTTTTGTTACAGCAGCCCAGGCAGGATAAAACAGATTTGATACTATGAAATACTAACTAAAACTGTGGAAGTGGCTTTGGAGCTTTGAAGTAACAAAATAGGTAGCTGGATGATCTTTGCTAGTGTGCTAGGTTTTTTTGTTTGTTTGTTTGTTTTTGTTTTTTTGTGTTTTTTGTTTGTTTGTTTTTAGAAAATGACCCCATCAGAGGCCTGCAGGCATACCTATGTGGCTGTTTTTCTTCTTCCTCCTCCTCTTCTTCTTCTTTTGTTGTTGTTGTTGAGACAGGGTTTCCCTGGTAGCTGTCCTGGAGCCACTCTGTAGACCAGGCTGGCCTCAGACTCTTGGAGCTGTGCAGCACTTTCTTAATGACTGATGTGGGAGGGTCCTGCAATGGGGGCAGTGCCACTCCTGACCTGAATCCTTTCCTCCCTAACTTGCTTTTGGTTATGTTTTTATTTTATTATATTATTATCACAGCAATAGGAAGCAAACTGGGACAGCTAGAAAAAGCTTGTAAAGGAGGGCCAACAGAAATATGAACATAAAGGGCTACTTTGGGGCTGGGGAACTAGACCAGTGGATACAGTGCTTTCCACGTGAGAGTGGGGACCAGAGCTCGGCTCCCCAGGACCTGGGTACATGCCAGCTGGGTGTGGGGTTTGTCATAATTGTAGCACATGAGGTCAACCTCAGGACTCTATATACATGTGCATATCCACGAACATGCTCAAACATATCCACGAACATGCTCAAGCACATGGGAACACACTATAACACAAAGCATGGAAAATAAAAATGTACAAACTGAAAAAGAAAAGCTATTTTGGCCTGATCCCTGGGAGCCACGTGGTGGATGGTGAGGATCAACTTCTTCAGTCTGTCTTCTGATCTCCTCACGCTTGTCATGCATGCATGTATGCACATACACATAACAAGGCATGAGTGTATATCATATACGTGTACATACAACACACAATAAATGTAATAAAATGTTTAAAAAGACCAATAAAAATCTTATCCACAACTATAGCAAAAACTAATATTTCTCCAAATAAACAGCAAGAACTCTTTAGCTCCTAGAGGGAAAAAACAAACAAACAAAAAAAACAAACCAAAAAACTGCAGAGCTAGGGAGGAGCAGAGGAGGGCATTTGCTGAGCATCATAAGGTTCAGGTTTTGTCTCCAGTACAGTAAAAAAGCTTCTAAACCAACTAAACAAAAAATTAAAAATTAAAAAAAAATTTTAAAAATTGCAAATCATATTCTTTTACCAAAGGGTTACTGGGTAATCGACTAATGGTTTAAAGATTTTTTTTTTTTTTAATACATGGTGAAACTGTAAGTCATTAGAAAGATCTAAATAGCAGGAAAACACTGAATAAAATGATTGTAGACTGCCGAGGCTGGCTTCAAATCCATGATCCTCCTTGCTCAGCTGGGAATACAGCTCCAGCTTGGGGAAGAATCTTATCTTTACAGTAAAATCTTCACAACCACTGATGGGTGCTGATGATGCTATTGTGCTACACTAGACTCTCTCTGGATGACTGTGTGGGAGAGGAGAGATGACAGGACAATTAAAACTATTGTAAAATGATCCCCGCAGGATTACCCAGCAGGTGGGTAATCCCAGCAGGTGGGTAATATTACTATCACCCACCCCTGTCTAGAGCAACCGCTGCCTTCTTTATCCAATAATAGTCAGATTCCAATCTGACTATTATTGGTCAATAATGGTCAAGAAACAAGACGCCCCCATCCCAATCTAGAACAAGTTGAGATCAAGTTTGTTGGAAATATTAGAAAATAAAGATAAACAAGTAGCAAGGATGGTGGACCCCTCCTTGGGGTGCTGACTGGAGAGGCCTTTACTTGGCTTGTCTTCCAGCTCCTTAGCAATGTGCACATTCAGAATCTATACAAGACAGAGCACTTCTTAGATCAGTGAGGCACATCTCCCTCCTACTCTCCTTTGTATGGTCCAAATGATGAAGTCAGATGTATTTGTGAAGTCAACAGTTCACCTTAGACATTGGCTAGTCTTCCCTGCCAACACTAAACAAGGGTTAATTCCTGGATGATGGGCACTGAAAAATACTGAGAGAGCGTATAGTGAAGATACCTTATCTACCATTCTGTTCTCTAAAAATAGCAGAGCTCAGAGGGCAAAACACTTGCCACAAAACCTGATGATCTGAGTTCCACCCTTGGTACCCCCATGATGGAAGGAGAGAATGGCAATGGCTCCTATAACTTGTCCTCTGACCTACACAAACACACACACACCATACACATACAGACACACACACAGAAAACAAACGTAATTAAGAACAGCAGAGCAAACATTAAACATACATATGTGTGTACATATATATACTATTTTTTTTTGTTGGTTTTTCAAGATAAGGTTTCTCAGTGTAGCCCTCCCTGGCTGTCTTAGAAGTAGCTGTGTAGACCAGACCAGACCGGCCTCAATGTCACTGATAACTGCTTATCTCTGAGATTAAAAGTGTGCATTACCACTCCTGGAAAACTTTTTTTTTAAATTTATTTTATTTATGTGTATGGGTGTTTTGCCTGTACGTGATCACATGTGTGCAGTGCCCAGAAGAAGGTGTCAGATCCTCTGGATCTGGAATTACAGATAGTTGTGAGCTGCCATGTGAGTGCTGGGAATTGAACCTGTGTCCTCTGGAAAAGCAGTCAGTGCTCACTGCTGGACCATCTCTCCAGTCTATAATTTAAACTTTTTTTTTTGGTTTTGTTTTGATTTTTTTGTTTAAGAATTGGTTTCTCTGTAGCCCTGGCTGTCCTGGAACTTACTTTGTAGGCCAGATTGGTCTCGAACTTACAGAGATCTGCCTGCCTCTTCCTCCCAACTGTTGGGACCACTGCCTGGCTGCAACTTAAACTTTTTAAAATGCCAATTTATTTTTGTGTGAATATGTATGTGCCACAGGAAAAAGTGCAGGCATCAGTTCTCTTTCTACCACATGAGTCTTGGGGATTAAACTCAGGTTGTCTATTTTATATCTTTAAAGCAGATATTTTTATCCTCTGACTCTCTGTAGTTCCAGGCTGCAATATTTCTATCTCAGTCTCCCTAGAGGCAAAATATTTTAAGAAACATTTAGGGGGCTGGAGAAATGGCTCAGAGGTTAAGAACACCGTCTGCTCTTCCAAAAGTCCTGAGTTCAACTCCCAGCAACCACATGGTGGCTTATAACCATCTATAATAAGATCTGGTGCCCTCTTCTGACATGCAGGCAGAATGCTGTACAGTGATCTTTAAGCTCTTAAACTGTGAAAGTCACAAAAACCAACTGGTTCAGTGCAAGTTTTTAAGCTGAAAATTTTGTGACAAATACATTTACATAGAAAAATACACGTGGCGTTAAACATTTTTTTTAGTTCTTTTTATTTCTTTAATGAGGTGTGTGCAGGTGCATGTATGACACCAAGCACACATATGTCAGGGGACAACTTCCGTGACAGCACTCACTTCCACCTTGTTTAAGACAGGGCCTCCTGTTCACGGCTTCCGACAACAGGCCACCTGGCCCGCACATCCTGGGGGATTCTCCTGGCTCTATCTTTCATCTTACTCTGTGTGTGTGTGACTGAATTTGACTTTGCTGAGCTTCATGCTTGTACGGCAATTACTACTTAGTGAACTATCTCCTTAGACTGACTCACGCACATTTTGGATTATAAAATTTTTCACATATCATGAATACTTGTATACTTGCAATGATGTTCTCATTGTTAATATAAGCCACTTTGAGTTGGGCAGTGGTGGTGCAAGCCTTTAATCACAGCATTCAGGAGGCAGGGGTGGGTGGATCTCTGAGTTTAAGGCTAGAGACAGGGTTTCTCGGTGTAGTCTCCTCTGTCCTGGAACTCACTCTGTAGACAAGACTTAGCCTTGTAAATTGTAAAAATCAAGGATTTTTGTAGAGGTGACCTTCATTCACACTGTACTAAGGTGTGTCTCTGATAGTCCATTGTTAATTGCTGAACCAGCCTGGAGGTAAATGCTAACAGATTCTGGCATTGTCATTGTCTCAATGTTGTGTAACAACTGTCAATAAAGAGCTGAATAGTCTATTGCTGGGAGGAGAGTTAAGGCAGGACCTGCAGTCCCAGGAGGGGCATCCTACATGGACCAGACAGAGAGAAAGGAGAGGGAGAGGTCACTGGCTCATGAGGGAGTCACCATGAGGACGAAGATGGAGCAGGAGCTGCTGGGGCAAGACTAGAGGACAGGTAACAGGGCATGTGTGTGGGAAGTAGGTCAGGCCAGTACAGACAGGTTAGAATAGGTGAGAGTCTGCCCAGATATAGTCTTTAAAGCTTATTATAAATGTAACAGGTCTCTGCCTCATTATTTGGGAGATAGAGCGAGCGTAGAAGTAGCTATTAATTCAACAGCTTTTAAATAAAAAACCCAAAATACCATCGGTATAAATTTCTGATTCTTCCAACCCTTTAAAAGACAGATGTCCTAGCTCTTTCCATCACCAAGGTCAATAACAATGGAGAAATAATGACACTAGGAATGAACACTCTGACTGTAGGTATGAGTCTCCATCCATTTTCCCTGCCAATAAAAGCCAAGCCTTGGAGAAATTGCTGCTTCCAGGCCTGGGAAAGGAAGTTACAAGAAGGTCCAGGAGGTTGGAGAGGTAGCGGGGTTGGTGAGTACTTATAGCATGTGCAGAGTCCTAGGTTTGATCTGAACTTGGCGCATAGCTGTAACCCCAGGCCTTGGGGGTGTGAGGAGTTCAAGATCATCCTTAGTTACACAGGGTGTTCAAGGCCAGGTTGAAAACCAACCAAACAACAACAAAAGTAAAAGTAAGATCAACTTATACTCACATTAGGTTTTGTGTCTTTTCAATGTGCCAGTGTAGATTTATTGCCAATAGAGTTCTACATTCTTAAAGGACAAATTACCTGTTGTCAATAATCATTACTCGGGAAGGTGGAATCCCTAAAACTTCACAGCTCTGCAAAAGTTCTTTCTTTCGAATCTCTCCTTGATTGTAGAAATTTCCTGAGGAAACAGATAAAATGGTACTTTAGCTGTAGAGGCCTGTCTGCTCACTCATTTTTATCTTATCTTGTTCCCTGAGGGAGTTAAACTGTCTAAAAAAAGCCAGGATTGTAATGCAAAGCTGAAGAAAATGCAACATTTAACGTTATGGTATTTTATTAGCAGATTACTAGCAGCATACATCCTAGCACCACCAGCCACAATTCCTGTGTGCCTATTTATGTCTGCACAACTCTGTAAATCAATCTATCTATCTATCTATCTATCTATCTATCTATCTATCTATCTATC